GTGTCACCCTATGGTGGTCACCATGGTGGTCACCACAGCGTTCCTTATGGTGTCACCCTGTAGTGCTCAGCATGGTGCTCACTATGGTGGTCACCACAGCGTTCTCCATGGTGCTCCCCACAGCGTTCCCTATGGTGTCACCCTATAGTGCTCACCATGGTGCTCTCCAGAGCATTCCCTATGGTGTCACCCTATGGTGCTCACCATGATGCTCACCATGATACTCACCATGGTGGTCACCACAGCGTTCCTTATGGTGTCACCCTATATTGCTCACCATGATGGTCACCACAGCGTTCCTTATGGTGTCACCCTATAGTGCTCACCATGATGGTCACCACAGCGTTCCTTATGGTGTCACCCTATAGTGCTCACCATGGTGGTCACCACAGCGTTCCTTATGGTGTCACCCTATAGTGCTCACCATGGTGGCCACCACAGCGTTCCTTATGGTGTCACCCTATAGTGCTCACCATGATGGTCACCACAGCGTTCCTTATGGTGTCACCCTATAGTGCTCTCTATGGTGCTCACCAGAACGTTCCCTATGGTGTCACCCTATGGTGCTCACCATGATGCTCACCATGATACTCACCATGATGGGACCAGCGTTCCTTATGGTGTCACCCTATAGTGCTCACCATGGTGGTCACCACAGCGTTCCTTATGGTGTCACCCTATAGTGCTCTCCATGGTGCTCACCAGAACGTTCCCTATAGTGTCACCCTATGGTGTTCACCATGGTGGTGACCACAGCGTTCCTTATGGTGTCACCCTGTAGTGCTCAGCATGGTGCTCACTATGGTGGTCACCACAGTGTTCTCCTTGGTGGTCAGCACAGCGTTCCTTATGGTGTCACCTCCTAGTGCTCACCATGGCCCTCACCATGGTGGTCACCATGGTGGTCACCACAGTGTTCCCTATGGTGTACCCCTATAGTGCTCACCATGGTGGTCACTATGGTGGTCACCACAGTGTTCTCCATGGTGCTCACCACAGCGTTCCTTATGGTGTCACCCTATAGTGCTCACCATGGTGGTCACCACAGCGTTCCTTATGGTGTCACCCTACGGTGCTCCCCACCGTGCTCTCCATGGCACTCACCATGGCGCTCCCCATGGTGCTCACCACCACGATCCCCATGATACTCCCCAAGCCACTCCCCATGGCCCTCGCCATGGTGCCCACCACGCCCACGCCGCGCAGGGGGCCCGCTCACCGTCACCGACGCCAACCTGTGCCTGGGCCGCCTGCTGCCCGAGTTCTTCCCGCGCATCTTCGGGCCGCACGAGGACCAGCCGCTGAGCCGCGAGGCCACGCTGCAGGCCTTCGCCGACATGGCCGCCCAAGTCAACGCCGCCGGCACCGCGCTCTCCATCGAGGAGGTGGCCATGGGCTTCATCCGCGTGGCCAACGAGGCCATGTGCCGGCCCATCCGCGCGCTCACGCAGGTGGGGCGGCGCGGTGGTGGTGGTGGGGATGTGGTGGTGGTGGTGGGGACGTGGTGGTGGTGGTGGTGGTGGTGGGGACGTGATGGTGGTGGTGGGAACGTGTTGTTGTTGTTGTTGTTGTTGGTGGTGGTGGTGGTGGTGTTGGTGGTGGTGGTGGTGGTGG